AATTCCTGATATGCTTCTGCTGCCAATGCCCTCTTCCTACAGGTTTCATTGAGGCGGGATACCATGGATATTAAAGAAACTGACTATTATGAATCCTTGTACAGTGAGAGTCAGGCACAATTTAACACGTGAGTTCCTTATTACTCTTTAGAGCTTTTGATTATTGAATTGGTTGAAGGAAGTACCTACATAAGTACTTTTTACAAAACTCTTATTTGAAAAAATAGATATTGAATTCTCAGAAATACTTGAAATGCTGTTGAAAAGATAAGATAAAGGAACCCTAATTAACTAAGATTGGGTTGCTCATATCACTGCTGAATTTTGTTGTCTACTGATACCTCTATTTTCCAAGGTTTTGACTACTAACTCATTCTTTTTCTTCTAAAGGGAGGGAGGGGTACAAATAATTAGGATTTGTGAGCTTATTTACCATAGCAAGCTAGCTTTTTGCTGAACCATTTCTGTCCATCTTTAATTGTACTGTGCCTTATGTTGTGATAGGTGTGTTTAGTTTGGATGTTGGATGTTTGATTTGCCTTTAATTTTGACTATTTTGTTAAGGTATCATCTATCTATTCAAGATATTGGCCATTGCCGTTAAATTTCCCATTACCGCAAACTTGGGCCAGTTCATGTTTTTATTAATGATCTGAAAACTCTAGTTTAAGCTACACTTTTAATGTTGTCTTAGGTATTTAAGCATTGGAACATCGCTTTCTTTGTATGGTATTATATTTTGCGCTTTGCATTTTACATTTTGCTAGCAACTCAAGAAGTTGCTGATCTTTCTTAAAAATGGCTGTATTTTTTTCTGCTGCTTCTTTGCAGATATGTTCAAGCAGGAACTGTAATGAATAATTATGCTCACATTTTTGACCTCCTCACTCGCTTGCGGCAGGTGAACATATTTGTATCACTTCAATAGATGAAATATTCTTTCTTGTAGTGTTCATATTTTCAATTCAATTTTTTTGTGGTATTAATGAAACAATTATACATATTGAATCAACTTGAAACTTGGTATGAGCACCAACAAGAATAAAATTTTGGATCTGATAGTCTAATAAAATGTGCATAATAACATATACATATACATACATACATATATATATATAACAAATAATTAAATGTACAACATATATATTTATTTGTATTCTCCCTAAATATTTTCGTGTTTATGTATTTTGTGTGTCTGTATGTGTGAATATTAAGAGATATTTTTATTATATATATAAAAAATAAATATTATAATCATATTTATCAAGCTGTAGTAGTTTTATTTATTTTGTAATTATATATTTAATTATTGATATAATAAGATAAATTTTGTCTAACAATTATTATGAAGGGGTGATATTGTATCAATGATGTTTTTGAAGGTGTTATGGTCACCCTTTCAAGGAGTGATACTGTTGAAAGGGTGATGGAGGGTCACTGCTAGGTATTATCACTTAGACAATACCAAACTGATGATCCTTTCACTGCTAGTTGCATCACTCCTATCACCCTTATTACCATAGCAAAAATCCCCTAAGAGAATAGGACTTCATTTTTTAGAAAATGAAAGAGAAAAAGGAAAACAACAGTCAGAATTGTATACTGATCTTTCCAATTGATGTTTATAATATCTTGTGCAAAATTATAGGCTGTTGATCATCCTTACCTTGTGGTATATTCGAGTACTGCTTCACAAAGGGCTGGAAGCATAGTAAACAGTGATAAGAATAATGATGAACAAGTATGTGGCATTTGCCATGACCCTACAGAAGAGCCAGTGGTGAGTTACACTTTCCGTTTGTTCATTTTAGTACTTTTATTCCTGTAGTTTTTCTTCTTGGCTTTAAAAGCATGTAACTTTTATACAAGCTCAAAACAGTTATACTAATTGACCCATCCATGGTCATGTTTGAGCAAGTTGTAAGAATGAGAAGTCACCGTGATACTTTTGAATATCCAATTAAGTGAAAAAGTTGGCAGAAGATGTATCTTTCCTTGACTTTTTGTTTGAAGTTCCTGGTTCTAATTGTTTCAGGTTACTGCATGTGCACATGTCTTTTGCAAGGCTTGTCTGATTGATTTTTCTGCCTCCTTGGGACAAGTCTCATGCCCATCGTGCTCAAGATTACTTACTGTTGATCTGACCACGAAAGCAGATGCTGGAGGGCAGTCTAGCAGAACAACACTGAAGGGGTTTAAATCCTCAAGTGTTCTAAACAGAATACAACTAAATGATTTTCAGACAAGCACAAAAATAGAGGCATTGGTATGTTTTATTGGAATTCTCTTGAATTGAAAAAGAAGTTGCTAGAATTCTACTATATGTCGCTTAACCATCAGTTTGCATTATCTAGAAGAGTTGTTTATGGCTTTTTTATGCCTGTCATTTATCATTTTTTGGCATGACTTTACTGATTGGTTAAGAGGTTAAAAAAAAAAAAAAATCCTTTTAGGCCTTTCAACAGTAGGTTTGGAGTTCCCGTTTGGCTTGTGTTTTTGAAATTCAAAATTCTTCTGCAAATTCTAATTGCCAGTGGCTTTATGTGTAAACTATGTTTTGATTGAAGTTGCAAAGCTGGTATTTGAGCATCAATCTGGTCTGTCTTGTCATGCTTCAGTAATTCTATATATCACTTATAAATTCACTGCAATGCTATGTGCTACTCATTCTAGAAACTAGAAGCAGCTGAATTCTTATGTCAAGATGAATGGATGATAACAATGAGAAAGATACCTGAAAGGAATAGGTAATACTATATTCAATGGCATGAATGATGCAGCTATAATAGTAGTAAAGTGTCTTGGTCTGATCATGTAAACTGATTTAGGTCACTGCATTTAGAAGACATGCTTTCCGAATTATTATTGTTGTTGTCATAGTTATTACTTTTAGTTTGACTGTGATCATTACCATGAGCGGACTGGAAATTTGCCTCTGTATTGTATGGCATATCCATATTGTTTATAGTTCCATCTCTTGATTTCTCCGCTGACTGGGTTTGCTTGATTTTAGAGGGAAGAAATTAGTTTGATGGTGGAAAGGGATGGTTCTGCCAAAGGAATTGTTTTCAGCCAATTCACGTCTTTCTTGGATCTCATAAATTACTCCCTACATAAGGTTTCTAAAATGAGAATGGAAAAAACTCTATTTTAGTTCTTTCTGTAGATTAAAAGGATGTAATTTTGATATAGTGGCCTGTTTTGCAGTCTGGCATAAACTGTGTTCAATTAGTAGGGAGCATGTCCATGGCTGCAAGAGATGCTGCAATAAAGAGATTTACTGAGGATTCAGATTGCAAGATTTTTCTCATGAGTTTGAAAGCTGGAGGTGTTGCCCTCAATCTCACAGTGGCATCACATGTAAGCAATGTCTTCTCTTTTGGTCATTCAATTATATCTCTGATATTTGGTGGGATCCATTTGCAGAAGCAATTTATTAGATTTCCTTCTCTTTGCTGGAAATGCATTTTTTGCAGTAAATAATTTCCTACTTTCAGGTTCTTGACTATGGTCTAAAATGAATACTAAAGTAGTATTGCTTGAAATTCTGTTAAGTTGCATAGGCTCCATTTCTTTGCTGATTAAAACTCAAATTTTTAGTTGGTTTTTGGTTCTCTTTATAAATTATCATCTCAAACCTTCATTAATCCTCATATTAACACCCTTTCTTCCATACAAGTCATCTTCCACCATCAATGAATAAGGAGAAAATTGACTAGGGCACTTCTCTGTCCAAATTTATTCGACACACTGAAATTTCTGTTATTTGATTTATTTAAATTTGTCTTGGTTTCTACTTCATTCTCGTCTGGAGGTATGTATGTAGTTTTTCTTATTGATTGGGAAAAAGGTAGGAAGGGGCAGCCGAGGGCTGGGGAAGGGTGGTTTGGAATGGTATTCAGCTGTAAACATTTTCTATGTTCTTAGAACGGAGTCATCTTTGAACCTGTTTAGGTTTTCTTGATGGACCCTTGGTGGAACCCAGCTGTGGAGCGTCAAGCACAAGATAGAATTCACCGAATAGGCCAGTGTAAACCAATAAGGTTGAGCTTCTCCCCTTTGGACCTTAAAGATTCTATCGAATTATGAGCTAGGTTCATTTCTCTTTTGTGTTAATGGGACTAACACATCCTTCTGGTATAGGATTGTGAGATTTGTTATTGAGAACACAATAGAGGAGAGGATTTTAAAGCTGCAAGAGAAGAAGGAATTAGTATTTGAAGGGTACGAATTAATTTAAATTTGAAGCAAACTTTACTTGTCAAACTGATATAGAGCATTTTGGCAATTTGATCAATGCTATTTTTTTGTTTTTAATGGTTATAGGACTGTGGGTGGCTCTACAGAGGCTCTAGGAAAATTGACAGAGGCAGACATGAGATTTCTCTTTGTGACTTGAGCTGGGATGAAAGCAAAGTTGTGTTGTTGCGGCTGTAAACTTGTAACTCTTGTTCCAGTGGTGATGTGAATATTGCTTGTCAAGTGTTGGTTTTCTGAGGTGAATTTTTTGTTTAAAAGTAAAAGTAGCAGATGTCAGAATTTCAGTTTCTGGTGACTATGTATGTAGCAAGTAAAACTAGTGGTGTTCTTTGTGTAAAGATAAGATTTAAGACTAGATTGAAGAGGCGAAGTATCTCCGGGTATCCTTGGTTCTTTCATTTTGTTTTTATATTATGAATTAATTAATGTAGTACTGCAGGAGAGTCGAATTGTTACAAGCGATGTGGAAGTCGTGATTTTGCACTAAATCTGTCAAGGGATGGACGAAAAAGAGCAAAATGAAAAGGAAAATTTTTGTTTTTATTTTTGTAATTGTATTTGGTAATTATGTTTCCTAAACCCAAAAACTAAAAGCAGAATTTGAAAAAGAAAATATAAACCAAGTCGAATGCTATGCTAAGCTGTTTTTCAACTACATTAGTGGTATAAGGGCAACAGGCAAATAACTCATGAGATGTTACATCAAAATTCACTAATCAATTGTTATTATTATTATGATTTTGATGTTCAATCGTCTACACTCTACCAAAGGGCAAAGGGAACGTGGAAAAGCATGATTGCTTTGCTCGCCCAGCAATGCGGTAGATAGATTTCCGTCGGTGGAAACCTACACCCCAAGTAACTGTACCACTCCAAATCAACACTCCAGAGCAAATAAACACTCAAAGCAACGCAAACTCAAACTCCTTTCCTTTGAGCATGATTCAGCTACTCTACTCTGTGATAATGCTTCAGGTGGGTTTCATAATCACCCTGCTCTTCAAGACCCCTTTCAGAAAGCTCCTAATAATGGCGTTGGATCGGGTCAAGCGAGGAAGGGGCCCCGTCGTCCTCACGACCGTCGCCGCCACTCTCATGGTGGTGCTTGCATCCACCCTTTACAGCATGCTCAAGATCCAGCGCCGCACCATCGACGCTGCTGCCCTCAATCCCACCGACCAGGTTCTTATGTCCAAGCATATGCTTGAAGCTTCTCTCATGGGTATTCCTCTGTTCTATTTTATTTTAAAGCTTTCCCCTTTGTTCTATTGTTTCTTTTGCTTTCAAAATTTCTGATTGCATTGGTTTCCTATGGTTGAATTATGTTAATTATCTCAGTGATGGCGTAGCTAGGTTGATTTTTATCGCTCCAGTCCAGTTGCCTGGTTGGTGGCTGATAAAATCCGCTGTTGGTAGCAACATATGAGAAATGCAAATTTTATCCATTAATCTTTCCATTTCCAAACAAGAGCATGTAAACCCATAGCACATTTAGTTATGCATGGCATTCCACATTCTTATTTCACCTTCTGTATGTATCATTTTCATTTAAGCGCTAGTAAGGCGCAATAAACAGTATTATGCTGCTAGCTGATAATCACCATTCTGTAACGTAGTTTGAAACTTCCATCAAGGAGCTGATGTTATTATGCCATTTATATAAATGGCCTGCAAAAATATTTGCCATTTATATAAATGGCCTGCAAAAATAAAGAATACGCAAATATATGATATATTTGTGTTTGTAAACCTCTTAAATAGCATTACCTCAGATTCAGTGTTGCTTAATTCTTGGCTTATAGATGCCTAGTCAGTAACTTTTTTTTTGATAGCTACTACAGAAAAAGTAAATTCAAGTCTGTTCCTTGGTGCATTAACTAATGATATTCTTTAAAACTTGCTTATAAGTCTGAATTGACTGAACTAGATACATGTATTCAGGTTTAATGCCTGAAACTATGTTGACTTCTGAAGAACTAGTCATTTTCATTTGCTTCCATGTCCCTCTTGATATTACGTCCCTATCTGAAATACTTGGTATATTATTTCTTGAATGGCTGCTTTCTTCTGCAGGAGAGGGGTTTGATAGAAATATAGGTTAGACATGATGAAAGCTGACAGTTTCTTCTGGTTTTCTTTGAGTTCGGTGGATTTTTGTAATATGTCTATGATCTGATTATTTAAAATTAACATACAACGTAGCTTACTTTACTTACTTCATGTTTGTTGATTCAGTGGCTTGTTACTTATCCCGTTGAAACAATGTTTTTGGTACCATGGTAATGCTTAAGCCCTTAAAACTTTTAATAAGGTAGGCTACTGTTTAGTTGACCTCTGATGGTCTATGTGGTGAGCAGATCCTCTTGCTAGTTTTCTGCGCTATAAGCATATGCTTCGCATAATATATTTATTTGTTGATAAATAATTACTAGGAATTGATTTCTAGGAAATTTTCTTGCCCAAATATCTGGGAGCATTTGTATTAATGTTGTTTTCGTGAGTTACGCAGAACGAATTGTAAAGATTGAGTAGTATGTGTTATTGTCTAGATTGCTTGGTTGCTAAATGGCTCAAAACTTTGAAGTTTTCAGACGCCATAGTATATCCTCATCTCTCTTACCATCTGCTGTGTGTTCTAATTGGATAAAGATATCAGGAGTGCCATTTTCTTGAAGCTTTTCTTTTGAATGTATACTTTATTTGCAGGTTTCATGTTATTCCTTGCACTGATGATTGATAGATTGCACCATTACATAAGAGAACTTAGGTTCCTCAGGAAAAGCATGGAAACTGTGAAAAAACAAAGCCAAGGCTACGAGGACAGGAAAAACGCAGGGGAGCTTAAAGCCTTGGGGGAAGAGACTGTTATATTGAAGACCAAGAGCAAGAAGTTGGAATCTGAATGGGAGACTAAATCGAAGGAGGTCGAGGCTGCACAAGCTGAAGCAGAGGCGCTTAGGAAACAATCTGAAGGATTGCTTTTAGAGTATGATCGTTTGCTGGAGGAAAATCAGAATCTTCAAAATCAGTTGGAGTCAATTGAGCAAAGTTTGTCAGAAGCGGGGGCAATGAAGAACATGTAAATTGCTCTTTAATGAGGATGTTAGAGATTTTAGTGGGCAGAGGCGGTGCACCTGGCGGTGGTTATCATTAGATATAAAAAGAAATAATATGAAACCAAGAAAGCTTTGTGCCGCAATAAATGGGATATTTAAGGCTTGGAAAAAGCCCAATACCCTACCAAACTGACTTAACATCCAAAAAAATTAATAATAAAGATGTAGTAGTAAATACTAACATTTTGTGTTGTAAAAGAAAACATAGGCGCTGGGGCTCTAAAGCCGGCCTAGCAGTGGCGGTCTTACCCAAGTACCGTGGGTCGCGATTATTGGAATGACAATTTATTAATGAACAAGATAAGCGTAAGTGAGTCACTATTGAATATCCATCGTTTCTCTTTTCAACTTATTTTTGTTTGTTTATAACTTAGTTTATTTCCAAGACAAATAAGATTAAAAAAAGCGGAGGACAGATTTTTGGTAACGGCATTGGATGGTCCAAGTCCAACTCCAAAGCAGTTAGTTTGAAGCCACAAGGGCTAAGTGAACTCTAGATTCCAAAATCCTTGAGGTGGTTTTCGTCTTTCTAGTCTTCGCTGTGTTGCTGTGCCACAGATTACAAAGATACCTGAAGGTCTCCCGTGTCTGTCTTCCTCCCTAGTCCCTTAACAGGTGCATCTCACTCTTGTCTCAGTCATTGCCGTGGCGCAGGAACCTCCTTTTCTTTTTGGTTATCTATTTCTTTTCCTCCTCCTTGTCAACTCTCTTGTCTAAGCCACGGTTTCCGTCTCTCTCCTTAGTGTGTGTGATTGTGAGAGAGATACCGGTTGACGTCGCAGGTTTCTGTTGCTTGGCACGTTTACTTACATCTTTGGGGTTTGTTGCAATTGGCGTTTCCCGTTTGTAGGGGGAATGAGCGGTGCCTTTAGTCTGTTTGAGTCATGGCAGATCCCTTGTACCAGATTTCTTTCAAGAACCTCCCAATTTTCAAGAGGTTAAGAAGCAAGCTTCCTTTCTATTTGCTTCTTGCTAAAGATAAATAAATTCCATTATTCCCATATTTGCTCTCCAAATGCAGGCTCCTACGATATGCAGAGGCCTATCAAGCGTCAGACCTTGTGCGTCCGTAGAAACATGCAGACTGTAACTTGTGAGGTCGTCGATGCAAGCTATGTACCCACTCCCCAGAATAAACCCAAGGTTCTTTTATGTTTCTGGGGGATTAAGCATTTTTTTCTCTAAATTGGTTTTATAATAAGCAAAGCAGCGTAATTTTTAGAAAGTTGTTGGAGCAAGATACTGTCTTTGGTAAAGTCTGAAGGTTGATAAATTCATATACTATAAGATTATGATCTTCGTTTCTTTCTAGCTGGCACAAAAGGTACTAATGGATCATACATTCTTGTGTCTTCTATTTTAAGGACTAAATATATATCTCCATGGATGTTATTGGAAATTCTTCAAGAGATGAGACATTAGTCTGTGAATGATTATTCTCATGTCTATATGACCGTTTATCACTAAACATTGAGTTTCACAGCCAAGTGACCATTTATCACTTTCATGACCGTTTCTTCATTCTATATGTAGACTTATGTGGTATGACCAAGTCCATATCTTTACTCCGTGAGTTGATGCAAAGGGTCCTTTCTTAATGATATGATAAATGATTATTCTCATGTCTATGAGTTATGCACATTACATATGATTATTCATTAACCTAAAAAAATGGATTTTATGATGGTTTTTTGTTTGATTCTAAGGATAAACGATCTCCACAAGTGGAAACTATTGGTGCATTTCAAAAGCTGCCCATGGTGATGCCATCAGTTGATATTTTCCATTCTGCTATGAGGAAGGCAAAGATGGTCTTACCTACAAAAGGTAATTGAATAAGTTCATTCATCTGGTCAATCTTAAATGCAGTTGCAACATGTCAGATTGTTGGTCTAGCATGACATTCTGTTTCCTCCCTAGGGATTGCCAACATTGCAAGGAGAGAAAGAAGCAGAGGTGCAAAGCAACTTGATGCACTGATGAAAGTACGATATTATTCCAGTGTCTATTGATTCGTTTATAGTAGAAGACAACTTCTACCTTGTACTAATGAATATATTGCTTGAATATAACATTTTTTCATTTGCTTCATCTTCAGGAATTAGCAGTTCCATTAAGAGGGTACATAGAAAACTTCCCGAAAAGAATGTACTTGCATCCTTATGAACGGTCTCTTATTGAGTTGACACTTGGGGATGGAAATTATGAAGAGGTAACACTCATGAATAGCTCACTGCTGATATTCAAGCATTCTTAATTGTATAGATTGGACCTATATATATATATATATAATTATGATACTTTTTAGCTGTTCAATCTGTGAGCACTACTGTTCCCCTCCCTCTTGATGAGTGGCTTTTGGATGCGAAATGTTGAACTTAAGTGCTGTCCCTATGGAATAGCTTCTTATAAGTAAGCAAAATGGTATCCTTGTAAGTTTTATTACTGTACGTGGAAGGTTCATTCACCCTTCCGTCCTTTCTTTCAGTGCCATATTAAAACAGAAAAATTGTCTTACCGTTGTGTGCTTTTTGCAATTACAGTATTTAGAAGGTTCATTCACCTTTCCCTCTTTTCTTTCAGTGCCATATTTAAACATTGTTAATGTCTCAACAGGTCTTGAAAAAGGTAGATGCTCTAAGGAAGAAGGTGGTATCTGTTGGAAAGGAACATGCTTCTCTCTGTGCCAAGGTTATAGTCTTCCCTTCAAACTATGTTTAAAGGAATTTTTTTGAAGGAGATGGTCCTTAACACCTATTCTCTTTTATTTGATGTGGCAGTGACATTCAAACACAAATTGAGTTTAACAATTGACAGTATAATATAAGCTATGTGAATCCGCTAACTTTTTGTATGTTTTAATTTACATCATAAGGCATGGGAAATCTTGATGATTTTGACTTTAGCCGGACTAAAATTGAGAAAGATTTGATATTCCCCTTATTTTATGCAGTCTGAAATTCGTAATAACTGGACATTTATGTAGCATGAATTTGTTCCTTGTAAGTCAATTATCTACTGATTTTCTCCTTTGCAGTCTTTATCGAAAAGGGAAGCAGAGGAACGACTGACTGAGGTAAGTAATTATCTGCTTTCAATATAGATCTTTGTTGATATTCATCAGTATTATTAATTTAGTATATTTTCTGTTTAGTGCAGGGTTTGGAGAAACTTCAAGAAATCTTCAAACGTGAAGGGCAGGCTGTTGATAATTTATTGTACATTGCCAAGGTATATAAGCAGAAATCTTTTAAAAGTATCTATTTTATCAGAAAGCAATAATTAACTCAAAGTGTAGAACTAAAAATGTAGAATAATAACTTTTTCAGTACGAAAGCAGGAATTAAAAATGTCTATTTTAGCATAAGGAATAACTAAAAATAGAAGAATCTATGTTGCTTGGACTATTTATTTTTCCTAAAGAACTCATGTCATGTATCCAGTAACTCAAAGTGCAGTTTGATGTGAGGGTATGAGTCTCCAAATATGAGGAAAATTTTACGAAGAGGAAAGTATAGGGATGCATACCCATATCCTACATTTATACCAGAGTTTGAACAATAGCTCTTAAATTTAGCTTGACATCAAAGAATACTATAAATTCTGAGTTTCTTGTTATTTAATCTTGAATTTTCTTGACATGTGTTTTCCATAATTGATGTGTTCTTTTGCTAATATAGGCATTTAGATGGGCACATTTATATAGATTTGCACGTGCATTGGTGTTGCCTGTGTTTTTGCATGTGTACATGTATTGTTTCATGTGTAGCATCATTTGGCAGCTGGAAAACCATGTGACAAGTAAACTACAGGCGCATCATCCTAGAAAATGAATTTCTTTGCTGGCATATTGCAATTTACTGGAAGAGAATCATGCAAAATTTAACTTAAGGATAGTTTGTTACATTGAAAGTACATACAATAATATGCATCTGCTAAGGTATTTAAGGATGGACTTCTTCAATGAACAATTACTCTAAATTGAGTTTGTAGAATATGAACCAAAGCTTATCATAAACATTCAGAATCATGATCTTAAACCTTAGTTTAAGCGATGATTCATGGAAGTCAATGCTGCCATTTGACATTTTTTTGGCTGTTTAGGAATAACAACACTATGCCTTTGAAGTTTGGAACATTGGAACATTAATTTGCCGTTTGTCTAAGTTCAAGTCTTCTCGTTGTTTTGTTCTATTTGTCAAAGGAAATACCTCTCATTGTTTTATTTTATGTTGTATGAATGGGCTTATGCTTTATTGAAGTAGTAGCATTTTATTTTGTTTCAACTTATTTGTAATAGCTTATGCTTAAATATCGTTAATTTTAAACTCGTAATTAATTGCAAGTGGAATATTTAAGTTAGTTTGTCCTCAAATTATATGGTTTCCAGACTTTGCGGGCCATGCCAGTTGTGGATCTAGAAATGCCAACTTTGTGTCTTGTTGGAGCACCAAATGTGGGGAAGTCATCATTGGTTCGTATGCTCTCAACAGGAAAGCCTGAGGTCTGCACAACTACTTTCAACGTTGCTTTCTATTCAAACTGTTAGTCTGTCTAAATAAATTATTATACATGAGTGATATAAAACAGTTTAACTGGAGCAAAAGAATGGCAAATAGGAAATAAATTGGATGAAAATCTGTGAAATATAATAGAGCTTACTAGAAAAAGGATTATTAGGGGGAAAAACTTTTATCAAAGCATAAATGGAAGACTGTAAGTGAGAAATACTTGAGAAAGTTGCAAGCCTGAAAGATGAAAAGCAAGTTTCAAGCTTTTGAAAGATTTTGGTGCAATCACTCTTGGGGCATATTTCAAGAAGAAAAAGTTTTCTTTCTTATCTCATTCATCATCAAATGAAGAGCCAGATGTCCAGAGAAATATAAAAAAGTACTATTATGGCTTTGGTCCACCACGTTTGCCTATTCTGTTAGAGGCTTTGGTCCACCATTAATACTGAAATGCCATTAGCAAATGTGCTTTTTATCTTTTTTTGTTGACAGTTTCTCTTTTATGTCTCTCTTAGGTGTGCAACTATCCTTTTACAACAAGAGGAATTCTGATGGGTCATATTACTATAAACTACCAGCATTTTCAGGTTACTTTTTCTATAAGATTTTGGGTGATATCAACTTGTATATTACCTTTTATGATATGCTTACTCAAAACCCAACTACAGGTGACTGACACCCCGGGGCTGTTGAAGAGATGTGATGGTAATGAATTTTTGAAATCTGTTAGGTATTTTTTGCTAATTTATTGATTTTATACATTCTGAAGAATTATTTTGCCGGCATCTCTCTCTCTCTCTCTCTC